TTTTATGTTTCCAGAATCTTGCCTCGATTTAGCATGATTTGAAAATTAGTGTGTGAATAGTTTGTAAAATGTTGTGATACCTGTATCTCGTTAGAATTCAGAATTCAAAAGAAAAAAAAAAGAGATGACTAAGGGTCTTATCTTCAACACAATATTCTGTTAACAAAATCAGTGCCCAAAGTTGTCAATATAAACTACTGAATTTTTGAGAAGGCTATATGACGTGTTAAATGAAACTAAACAAATTTGGACATAACCATTCCCCTTTCGTTTGAGCCTAACTAGGCTGGTGACTGATCTACTCGTTTCGTTGCAGGTGTTTAGTTATGAAGTGTTATGATGCTAACCTGTCGTTAAAATTCTCAAATCAGTACTTACGATGATCTGCTTAGCTTTATTCCCTCATCAAAATAAAATAAAAATAAAAATTTGTTCTTGTAATGTTATTAGATTAATTTGCCATATGACCAAAGGTCCTTATTTTTTATTAAAGCATGGCGTGATTAAGGATACCAATACCCTTCTGTTAAAAATCATGTTGGAGGGCAAATAACCTGGTTACCTACCTTATTTACATGATTTAACTAAGTGTCGAGCTTTGTTAGGAAAGCGTTATCATGTCTAACTTGAATCCCTGTTACGTCCCATCTATTCGCACTAACAATTCAGACGTCTTGTTTATAGAATCTCATTAAGTTTAAAATGACTATGCTATTTCGAGTGGTTAAGCATGTTTGATATTTTGCTGTCCTGTTAGCATAAACTTTTGTCCTCTGTTAAAGTTCTCCGTTAAGAGACCAATGCGAAGTCCTCTCCTCTCTATTTTATTTCCGTCGTTGATGTTTAATATGTGAAATTCTTTCTTCTCTGTCTTGACTTTGTAATGCATATCTGCTAAGCATTGTCAGAACTCATACAAACCAATTGGATTAACTCTCACTCTAGGATAATCGATTTTGATCTATTTTTCCTCCTCGTGTTTCATATTTTCTGAGGAATATTTTGCTTCTGCATCATAAATGGTGTTAGTCAGGTTGTTATTCGCCATGTCTAAACATCCATAACTCTTCCTTGTTTTTGCTTTATGCCTATTTTGGGTGATTAACTCGGCTGAACTTACACTTTACTCTTTTGTCACAACGTGTGTGATTATTAAATTCAAGCATATAAAATAGTTGATATGGATCAGGATCCTTGCTTATGTCTGTCACAATGTGTGTGTGTGTGTTTAAATGCCATATATGGATAGGAGGACAATCTTTATGTCTTAAAATTGAGACAAAATTTACCTTGATTATCTAATGGCTATTCTGGTGTTTGTTTGAAATTTTTTGAAGCCTAAAGTGCAATATTTGCTTGCTGGAAAATCTGCCTACAAGCAGATCTTTGAATCCCCTCTTTTATACCCGAAAATAACATAATACCTTGGAATTTTATATAGTATTATGAACTAGTAAGGGATGACTGTTGGTTTATCATTGAGTTCTTCATGTATTGACAATGATTAAAGCTTTAAAATCTTGTATCGTATATCCTTAAGTCCCTTTGATCAAAGATACGATTATAAGAGTACGAAATGCTAAATGAACCTTCATACATTGATACTAGGCTGCTGCACGTATCTGTTTATTCACGACTGTTTCTTTTATCTTATGAATTAGATAGATGAAGTTTACTTTAGCCATACTTAATAACCGGTAGAAGTAGTTATAGTGTCCTATCTTTATTTTGTATAAACTATGTAAATATTTGTTGCACCATTCTTCAGAGACCATTTGTGTTTGCCCCTTTCTGTTAGCCTCAAAAGGATGTGTATATATATATTCTTATGCTCCAACAGGCAATTCCAGACATACTTAAAGCTCACTTCATGGTGTAGAAAATACATTTAACAATTACGTACTCCAAATCTAACTTACGAAAAGAGGCTGATCTGTAAAATATCATATCTATTAGAATGTGATTGCTGGTACAAGTTAACTCAAATTTGGGTTAACAAATGACTATGTGAAATTCATTTTGATTTGCTTCTCATAAGCTCATTTGCTAATTATTTTTTTCTTCTTCTTATTTTTTTGTACATGTACACTTGGGAGCACATTTGGAGTTGTGATACGACTATTCATCTGTCCAAATCAAATTTGTGCTCGCCTACATTATCGCTTGTGTCTAGCAGCCCCATCGCATCAGTAGTGTCTAGTGCCTCTTCTTTTCTTTATGAATTTATGTCCTTAAAATATACATAATTTTTGCTTCTAATTAACGTTACAGAATTACAACTTTATGTTTGATATTTGCTCTTGTTTACCGTGTTATGTAGAGGACATTATGCTATATTAGTGAGCTTATGTCATTTCCTCAATTAATGTCACACTTGTGGTGATGCCACACATAGAATGTTACGACTATTATTTGTTTTCAACCATCCGTTACTAACAACATTTGTTGCTATCTTTTACTCAGAATAAGAGTCCAGAATGTAGATTCTAAAGATTTTAAAAGTGCAGTTTTTTTTTAGCTTAAAAAGGGGGCAGATTTTGAGAGCCTTGAGGGGTAACAATTTGAACATTAAAATGCACATTTTGAGTGCAATAAAACACATCTTTCTTAAAGCTTCGTAAGTGTTTGGAATTTAGTACGTAGAAGTGTTTATATTTTTGTCACGACTCAAAAATGGACGTGATGGCACTCATCTTATTCCACCAAGACAAGTCAGCCTAAAACTCAACCCAATCATAATAAGATGCGGAAATTTTATAATCAATTCAAAAATATCCCCAAAAATCTGGTTGTCACGTGTACAAGCCTCTAAAGTATTACAATTGATTCAAAAGAAAACACTAGTCTCAAATGACCTTGTTCTAGAATAGAACAAGATCATAAATATGAGTAAGAAGGTCCGCTAAGATGATAAACAACTACCTCACAAATCTCCAAGAACCCTCGAAAGAAGAGAATGACAAGTAAAATCCAGGCTCGTAACCTACAAAAAAAATTGTAGAAGCAAGGGGTGAGTACCAAACCACACGGTACTCAGCAAGTAAACTTCTAAACACAAGCTAAGGGAATGAAATACGGGTACTCCTTACACACCAACCAAACCTCCACAATTACAACCTGCATAAAACCAACCCAACCTAACAGTTCACAATGTACATAACACCAAGCTCAATAGCAATCACTTTAACCAATTACATATCCTCAACAACAAACTCAATATTCATCAATCACAACTTCCATAAAAAAAAGGGCACTCACAATATCAGCAACACACAAGATCAAGTTCATCAAATAGAGGTAATCAAATATCAAGTACTTTCCAACTACCAATAAAACACAAAATCATCAAGAATGAAGGATGCCATGGGATGCAATGCAATATGACACCATGAAAGGATATGCCTCAGAACACTAAGTACTCTCTCAACCGTATATACATGATACTCCTCGAAAATACATCGAGAGTTCATGACCCATGGGGGACTCGCGAGGTCCATATACCGACACGGACGATCTCCACGTGTCTGTGCGGATGATCTCAACGCACTATCATAAATCAAACAAATTTCGCACGGACGATCTCCACGTGCCCAAATTATAATCTTAACATCTCACCATCCCCAGCACGGACGATCTCCACGTGCCCAAATTATAATCTTAACATCTCACCATCCCCAGCACGGACGATCTCCACGTGCCCAACTTATACTCAATCTCATGTCAATGTATGTGCAGAATATGATTTCAATAAAAGGGATGATGCATCTCAATCAAATATCAATATGATATGTAATCACCTCAGTTATCACCAGTATACGGTTCAATAAAGAACTCAATCACACATAATAAATCAAGTCAATAATATATCAGCTAATGCCCATATGCTTTGGCATTCTCGGATTACAATCCACATTCTATAGTAATAAACTTTTTCCTTTATAACATCGGTACTCGTACCATTGCCCATCACCAACAATTCTCAATACATCACACACAAACAATTAATCACATTGCCTTTTATTACCCCTTTTTCATTATTAGAAATAATCAATGTGGACAAGTTAACCCATCACCAAGTTCCATTACCCCCAAACACATATTACAAGGAAATACACGAATTTCATACACTTAACAAGAGTTTAGAAATCCATTTGCCTCAAATAATCAAGAATTCACTCTGGCACTTGAGCCTTCCACTTTCGTTGAGCTCCCAAATAAATGCAATCTATTCACATTAATAATCACGATAAGATTTCGAAAGTAACAACACTCATATTACTATAGGTCTAACCTAGACCCAAAAACTCACTCCATCTAAAATCAAGTTTATAACCTTGATACCAATAACATGTCAACTTTTTCAATTTTCTCCAAATTTCAAGTCTAGGATTAAGTTACAATTTCTCCATATATCATCAACCTAATGATATTCATATAATTCGGTAACCCAATATTTAGTTACCTATCTCAATATACTAAATATTTAATTTATAATATGATAATTAAAATAGAACAACTAACTGTGAAATTTACTGGTCACGCAAATTCATGGCAGAACCATGAAAAACACACGGAAAACCCAACACTTATCCATTCATGACAATGATTACATAATTTCACTATAACAATCACACCCACCTTGATTTTCAATTCAAATTTCCCTTCTGTTCAACCCCAACAATGTACTGACACTATTTTGTCTCTTTTCTTTTAAAAACAAACAATTTCCAACCATATCCCTTAACAATAACATCACCCTAAGATATATATATATATATATATACTAGTAAAGGCAGGCCGGGCGTTGCCCGGGCCCAACACGAGCATCTGTGGCGCAAATATGTATGACAGTCGGATCAGATGAGGGGCAGCTGATGGCTGACAATGATATTCAGGAGAACTATTAGGAGAAACAAACATTAGTGCAAAGGAAATTTAGTGAAGACAGAATCAAGCATTTGAATCAATGCGTAAATCTTTTCAGAGAATGAGCAGTCAGATCAGTTGCGCCTAGAATTATCAGCCGTATAAATAGCAAGGCCTAGTGTTTCACACGAAGAAAACCACTGACTTAAAGTCTTTGTGTCTTTTCCACTAACAATGAAAACAATATTCTTTGGATCCCTGCACAAGCTGTTTAAGATACTAATAACCTCTGCATTTGGACCCTTGCTGATAGAGTTTCTGACTGTCATTGTACCATCATAATCCAAAAGGATTGCCCGATGTTTGGTCCTTTTGTAAGCAGATACAATATGCTCAACTGACAGTTTCCCGAAGCTAGGATCCAAAGCAACCACACGGAATCCTAAGCCAAATCCAATACCCCAACACCTCCTTCTCACATGATCCCTACATGCTCTTTCAAGATGTTGCAAAAAGCTCTGAGCCCAATATGCCACATCATGAGTGCACACATATTTATAGTGCTTCTCATGCCGCATCTGCTTCTCTGCCTCGGAGACAATTAAAGCAGAATCCATAGCTACAGAAACAGCATCAATATTCCATGGATTGACCCTTATTGCACCATTGAGAGATGGAGAGCAACCAATAAACACAGAAACCACCAACATGCTCTTCTTTGATGCTGTGGGGTTCAAGCCCAAGGTAGCATCCAGCTTCTCCATTCCTTGCCGGCATATAACATATTCATAAGGTATTAGATTCATTCCATCCCTTACTGCAGTAACAAGACAGCACTCCGCGACAGCATAGAAAGCAATGCGCTCATAGAACTGAAGAGGCTTATCAACCAAGATAACTGGTTCATATCCAGTCCTTCCAAATTTCTGGTTTATTCTCTTTACAGTAGCATAAGTTTCAGCATGGACTTCCTGCACATCTTTCCCTCGGCCTCTGGCAGGATTTGCAATTTGAACCAACACCAATTTACCCCTCTGATCAGGATGTTGAGAGAGTAGGAGCTCAAAGGCAAAGTTTTGAACTTTGATACAGAACCAAAAAAAAAAACACAGAAATAAGTACTAACAGAAGTCTAGCCACCACCCTAGAGAACAAATCTGATGGCATATGCAAAAATCAGAGAGTAAAAGAGAAGGTTTTAAGGAATAATACTATAAAAAGCCAAAGTTCGAAGAAGGATTTACCTCAAAAGGGCAACCAAGAAACAGACCAGATACCCCACATGTTAAAAGCCTAGCAACAAATATTGAAATGCAACAAAATTATTCCTTCAAGTAACAAAAAATTGGTTAAAGAGTACACTTGCCAAGAGAAATGGAAACATTTACACCCCACCCTTATCAAGAAAATTGATGGTGATGAAGAAAATGCTATTACAAGTACTCAAGAGGTAAAAGAACATCATATAACACTTATAAAAGAAAGTCTAGAGGGGTAAATAAGAGGACTATTTTGAAGTTGAGGTAGAGCTCCATCTATAGCTTTATATGAGAAATGATTCACAGATCCTGTTTTGTACTTTAAATCAAAATCAGAAGGAAAATTGGAAGTTCTGCAATTATATGTGGTTAAACTTCAGTTATATAAAACTTCAAACACCGAGTTTCAAAATGAATGAACTTGTAAAATTTGCGTATAACAAATAATGATCTGAAAATAAGGCATCAGTACATGTACTTGGTCGATTTTTCTTTTGAGACCTGAGTTTTATCGAAGAGGTTAGCGTAAAAGCGACATTTTCAAACCAATGTAAAACACTTATAAAAGCTATTACTATATACTACTATGCAGGACCTCATATAAATAAGTAAACAACTGAGATACTGAAAAGTGAAGGAAAAGTACAAGCTATACCGAATCCTGTGAATGCATTCAAAGAGAATTTATTGACTCACAATGTGTGGAGGAGTGGTTAGATTTCTCAAATGGAAAATGTAGCCTCTTTCTTCAATTGCCTTGGCAGTGCAGTATGACTGTAGAGTAGACAAAACAAAGGTACCTCTGGCTTGACGTCGTTTCAACTTCAATTGCTTTAGCTGTTGATTGATATACAGGAGGCTCGAAAACAATCATCAAAGATAAAGCTATGTCATAGATATATCTAATACATGATAAAATCTATACCTAAACAAAAGGATGATAAAAATGTCTTACCTGTAGAAGTGTTTTGCCTGTAAGATACAAATGTATCAATTTGGTAATGAGTTGGCATTATCAAATAATGGCAGGAAGTAAAATATGGATGTTTCTTAGGTATTTCTTGCTATATGCACGTGTGAACCAAGAAATCTGTAATTATAAAATACACAACGATGATCAGTAATTTTGATTACCACTGGCTATCCTCATCTCTGTTGCAGAAGACTAAGAAGAAAGGAAGCAAGATGAATGTACGTGCAGTGTTTGCAAAGAGCAAAAAGGGGCAAAATATAGAGTATCTGAGGAGCAGAGTTTTCAAAGGTGATGCTCTCGCGAATAAAATCCTGTCTTACCACAAATGTAGTTCGACACCGACATGTATCAGTACCAATTAACCCTGCAATCTAATTATTAGATGCACAGAGTAGTATACATAATTACATATAAAGGAAAGATGACGCCGAAGCATGTTTAAAGCCTGTTGGTGAGTAAATGTGCAGAGGGAATATATAAGTTGAAACAAACACTACATGATTGATGGGGAAAGTTGTGATTGTGTAAGTGTATGGTGAAGGATTATTGATTTATGAATATGTGTTGCAGGAACGTAGACCTACAGAAACAGTGCAGCTGCAGGAGACTTTTGCAACTGGGAAATACAGGAAATGGAAAATAATACTTACTGGAAGGCCTGTCGAGGATTCGAGTTTCTTGAACTATCGGCCTCCGCACTGTAGAAGAGATTGACTATTCCTCTTAGTGTTGAACTAAAAATACAGAGCAATAACAAAGAGTATTCCCTTCGATCTGCCTTACATCATTGTGTAGATTAAGAGTTTTCAGAAAAGCTTCAGGTTCATCCTTTGTCTTGAGTAGTTAGAAGTCATTTCTGGAATTTGTTCTGTTGGTGAAATAACCTGTGAAATCAGATGGGCAAACCACTACATCAAGTGAAGTAGTTTGGCAAAGGGAAAATAGGAGGAAAAAGGAAAAGAAGCAAGAACAAACAGACAACATAACTTTGAAATTAAAATGAATCAGAGAAACAAGTTTTAGAGACACGTTGAAGTTGACAAAGGTTCTCCAGCTTACGATTCTTCAATTCTGGATGGTGAATCAGGTGGTGGTGCCAGTGAATGAGGCTTAGACCAGAACATGTTAAACTTGAGCTATTCAGATGGCCAAGTCAATTAATAGCATTTCATAACAAGAAATATGATATGAATTTGCATAACAAAATTCTCGACAAGTAACTATTCAAGAACTGCAGGCTAACATGCTTCAGTGAATCATCATTTTTTGATAGCAACAACAAATTACAATGGAAAGTTTGATGAAATTAACTATATGAAAGTCAATTTGTTACCTTACCTATGAGAAGGCTCTCTGAATAATTTCATCATACACTATATTATATGTTGAATGATGATCATTACTGTCTGCAGTAGGGGGACGAATTAGTATTTTGACACATTTTGAACTTTTTGCTCTTGATAAAGCCACATATAATTGACCATGTGAAAAAACAGGTTCTCGTAGGTAAATTCCAACAAAATCTAACGTTTGACCTTGTGCTTTATTTATAGTCATAGCAAAACACAATCGCACAGGAAACTGTGTCCTTTTAAATTGTACAGGAATTTTCTCATCTTGTGATGTCAGTAATGGAATTCTTGGAATAAATACATGTGTATTTTTGAAGTTACCACTTTCAATTTTAGCACTTATGACATGCGTTTTAAGGTCGCAACATGTTAATCGTGTGCCGTTACATAAACCTTCGGAAGGATTCAAATTTCGTAACAACATAACTGGGCAATTCTCTTTTAAAGTTAACTTATAAGGAGGTAAGCCAGGAGGGTGTAAAGTATGTAAAAAGTCTTCAAATTGGCTTTGATCATTTGGTTCAACAGTTTCATCTGTTGCGACATATGTTCTAGCTCTTTCTGGAAATTTTGTGATTAGCATATCATTTATTTCATTTACAAAATCACTTTTTGTTGTTAAAATAACACGAGAAGATATTGCAGATGAATCAGAAGAAAATGTACATAGATCAGGATATGTTACGTTAAATAAGGTATCTAAGGATTGTTCTTCAGTTGTAAAAGGAATAATAAGAGAATTAGGAATCTCAATTTTGTTTTCACACTGAGTTGTTTCTTTTCCATTTCCAATTCTAAGTAGATATTCACAAAAAGATGGATCTGTTCTTGCACGCATATTTTCAGATAGATGTAATTTCTCAAGATCATTCCAAATGTTGGAGTATAATATGCTTTGATGAATAAAATCTTCTTTTTTCCCGTTTCGCACTACTGGAAGAGTCTGTCTAAAGTCACCTCCAAATACAATAACTTTACCACCAAAAAGTGTCTTCACATCCATTATATCTCTCAAAAGTACATCAAGAGCTTCAATTATGTTTTTTTTTTGCCATAGATGCTTCATCCCATACAATTAATTTTGCATCTTTAATTAAACAAGCAAGTGGACTTTGTTTACTAACATTACAACAAAAATTATCATCTATGTCAATAGGCATTTTAAAACGCGAGTGAGCAGTTCGTCCTCCAGGAAGAACAGAAGCTGCTACTCCTGAAGTTGCAGTTGCTAAAGCTATGAATCCTTGAGATCGAACAGTTGCTAATAATGCCCGATATAAGTAAGTTTTACCTGTTCCTCCGGGACCATCAACGAAAAAAGCTCCTGCCTTCTTAGAAGATATTCTATCAATAATTGTATTGTACGATATAAGTTGTTCGGCATTTAATTTTTTTGGTAACAACAAGTCCTCTTCACTAACAATTATGTTTCTCTCAAAATGGATATCTTTTGTGTCCTTTGTAGTTTCAGAAGGTCTAATATTCTCTAAGACAAGGTTATACTCATTTATGTCATGCCCCATAGAATGTAAGACATCATTGATATGGTTTAAAACCTTATATCGAACCTTTTTTGGTTCAGTATTGGAGAAACTTTTGAGGTCCTCTGAAAGTGAATCCTCAAACATTTCCCATAATTCTTTTGGGTTAGAAGGATTGCAATATACTAATAATGTAGCAAATAAACGTCTTAAACTGTATGGCATTTGATAACTGACAGCCTCTAACATACATTCAATTAAATTATTGTTGCAATATAACAATCCTCTTTTTTCTGCAGATTCACGAAATGTGCTACAAGGTACTCCATCAACAGTGAGAAGATCTTTATATGATTTTGGTCCCCTTACATTCATTAACAATAGCCTGAGGTAATATCTTTCCCCTTCAGTTACGTGGCATGTCACAACACGTCCAATTACATCACGTTTTTTTCGACGTGTCCACATTTTATCTCTTGAAGACCATACAAAGTGTTGCGGAAATTCCTTGTATAATAATTTCATATTTAGAGCATGGTCATTTGTTCTATTCATAGAGAAAAATTCAGTTAACATAGTTTTTTTTTATCATGGGATTATTTAAGATTCTATTCACGCTTTCGGTGCTTTTAAAAGAAACAAATTGTTGTCCTTCTAAATGTAATTGAAGATGATACACAACTGGAGTCATTTCACTAATAGGAAAAGCAAATAAACGCCAGGCTGCTTCGGGTGGCGAAACCCATCTTGCAGATCAATATTCTTTTATTTCGTCTATTTCTGCATTGTCATGTAGAGAATATGCAATTTTATCATGTCCTTTGCAAATATATTTGTAAATATATTTCACAACTTTAATATCTGAACAAACTTCAACATTTAAATGACAATCAAATTTACAAAGCAAGTATGGGTTGTATGGGACAACCCACGAATTGTCCATATGATGTTTTCTTATGTATACAGTTTTTCCAGTATTACGTCTCTTATAAAGTGGATATGAATTCTTTCCCTTTGATGTATGTTCAACAAAGTCTTTTGGATATTGAAATTTACAGAAGCCCTTTTTTTTCCATACATGAATTTGTAGGATTTATATCACCACAAGGACCATGCATCATATGTTGAAGGACACGTGAATAAAGATATTGTTCATTAGAATCAGGTAATTCAGCACAAACAAATTTATCATATGATTCAGGTGTTAACAATTTATATTCATTAGTAAGAATTATAAGAAAATGAGCATGTGGAAGAACCCGTTTTTGAAATTCTATAGTATACATAAAAGCAACAACTTTTCCAAATATGTGTCTTTTTAAAATATCTACTTTTAGTTCTTCTACTTTCGCTCTAAATACACGTGAGACTAAATCAGGTCTATTTTGAGTTTCATCGATCGATAACAGATGTTGTTTTATTTCTGGCCAAGATGGATTGCACGTCATAGTGACAAAAAGATCATGTTTTCCAAAGTGTTGTACTAAGGCGATAGCATCCATATATCGATGCCGCATATCTCTTGGTCCACCTATGAAAGTAACCGGGAGGAATGTTTTTTTGCCAATTTTGGAAGCCTCTGTTTCACCAACTCGCAAAAAGTCAATAATTCCTTGTAATATATCTACTCGGAATAAGTCTTGATTAAGTGAGACAAAATCCAATCTTTGTGTCTCAACTTTTATGAAAACATCAACTATAAATTGTTGAAATAATCTACCACAATGCAATACTCCATTTTCATCATCTTCTCTTATCTGAATTTTGTAACAGTAATATTCACGACAAGAAACCATATCTCTTTTTCGTTTTCCTTTATTAAAGAGTTGAGCCTCCATATGAAGAACTCCATCAATAGAGCATATATTATTTACACTTGGTAATTCTTCATGTTCACAGTAAGGTTGATTTCGTCGAATAATTTTTTTTATACCACAATGCCATCCGTTTTGACCATATGGAAACAGTAACGGATACTGTAAAGGATCATAACAACCATAATAATAATTTACTAAGCGAGTGTTATTACTATGAGTGTATATACGAATATGCGGCACAGAATTAACTTCAGTTGAATCATGTTCAAGCCATATTCCAGCTACCTCAGATGCAGATGGTAAATTATAAACACGTTGATCTAAACCTGAATGACATTTAAGTGCGATACAGAAATCAGATATTGTTGGGATGTTCATCAAGGACTTTATAAAAATAGAATATGGGTTTTTTGAAAGTATAGTCATAAGTTTCTTTACTGTTGATTCGCTAATATGCGCTGAATAAGCCATTCTGTTAGCCAGTTCAGTTTCATTATCGTAAAAGTATAGTTGTAGGTTCTTTGGTTTTTCAGAGGAAAGTAAATCAGGTATAAAATGATACATTTGACCTTGCACTTGAAATGTATATATGCCATGGTATCTCTTAGCTAAAGCTTTGTCATAGGTTACGCCAAGCGAGGTGAATGCAAACATATTATTATATGTTCTAATGTAAGTTCGAAAGTGTATAGATTCTTCAGTATTTCCCATATATAAATCAGATAAGTCAGGAGGCAGTTGGTATGAAACTAACTTAATCGAGCCATTACCACAACAAAAGCCAGGTGATTCATATTGAAACCTTTTTGCATTGCAAAATTTACAGTTGGGAACATCTTTTAAACACACATAAGTAGATCGATTATCATTAATTTTTTTTATGGGTGTTTTTGCTCAACGTACAACCTGTATGTTATAAGTACGGTTAAAACTGAGGGTAGCCTAATATTCTAACAAAGTAACAGGAGAAATTATTTTTGCATAAAATGAATACTAACCTTTCTTTGTAGCAACTTTAGGAGTGAGATTTTGTTGTTCCGAACATGCGTTGGATATTGAGCCCGAGATATAAATGACCTCAGGAATGACATTTTGTTGCGCCTTACAAGTGTTGGATGTTGAGCCTAAGATATAAATGGGAAAATTTAGACATATATCTACAGTACAATGCATCTAAAAGCCTAAAAGGCAGAGATTAGAGGCTTACCTTTTTCAAATGCATAAAAAGGAGGGAAGAGTTGTTTTGCTTTGTTAGAAGAACATGTTGAAGTTCTAATTTGATTGGAGGCATTTTCTGGATGAAATGTAATAAACATTATCCATTAGATTAATATGTAATTAGCTAATTCTAATTTGATATTAGTAAAAATAAAGAGGCAGTAATTTTTCATTCCAACCTTGGATGTTAACAGAAGGAGGGTCTTTTAAAGTTTGTTCTTTTGTACGTGATAGTTTATTTGGTTGGTTGCAAGACATTTCTTCACAAGCTTTTCGCCGCAAAGTATCTGCATTTGAAATACTAAATTTGTTAAACAGTGTAGGCACACAACCAACAATACCAAATGATATAAAAATTTAGATTCCTGAAGAATCCTCAAAACATGTCTATTGAACAGTTAAATACATCGCAAATCTCCAAGTTAAAATCTCACATAGCACTCTTATGCAGGGCTGGCAGCTCATATCTCCAACAGGGCTTTGCAATTCAGATGCAATTGGTACTTCAAGGTTGCTCTAGACATCCATGATTATGTGCCTTTGATGGGCCTCAACGCAGCTCAAGTTACAGAGCAGCTAGCCGGCATTTTTTTCCTAGTACAATTATATTTTTTCTTTCTCCTTTAATGGAGGGTCAGTTCATTTCAGACTAAAGATGAGTAGGCTGTAGTCAGCCACACACAGAGGCATTCAACTGCCCCTAAATGGAACAAAAGGCAAAGTAGGTTTAAGGTATTTAACAAAATGATAACAACTCATCCTACAAGAATCATCTTGTGAATTACATGTTTCAAATGTAAATTTTTTTATTGGTTGTCATCACATTTCGTACTTGCAACAGGATCTATGTTTGTGTCCGCTTATGTTGTGTGCATGTTCTAAACCTCTATGGGATAAAAATTGTTGGAATGAAATAGAGAACGAAAAAGGTAAACAAGGTTCATAAATTTTTTTAAAAATAATTTTCTGCTTAGTGATCTGTTTCAGTTAATATTAGATATGAAGCGTATGTATTTTGCTAGCACCCAAGCTACAGAAATTAATCTATTTGATTTTTGCTCGCACCATTTTAGAAAGCCTTTTTTTATATAAATAAGATCAACCAAAATCTTCTCTTTGCTTAATTGCAAGCACGAAATAAACCCCCAAAAATTGTGGGACACAAACAAATTGAAAATACATTGCAAAATGAAATTAAACTATGCACAAGCCAGCGATGACTATAATATTTGCCGGATTATAGAAAGCGGAACATAAACAACTTACCTGAGCTAGTAGCCACCGAAGTAAAGCCGAAGTGAGGGCAGACGTTTGAAGACGAAGGTGTTTGTTAGATTCAGTGAAGAATGCAACTTGTAACTTCGCTAAAAAGCAGAGGGAATTGGAGAGAAAGAGGAGAGAATAGCAGTGGAGATGGAGGTGTGTGGCAGTGCTTCACATGGAAGAAGGCGATAAGGTTGAGGCAGCAGAAAGATAAACATGTGACG